AGGAATAAAAGGTCCAAAGGGGTAGGGGTAGTGGGAGGCACAGGGGAAAGGAAAGAAGGGAAAGGAAAAAATGACGAGAAATGGAAAAAATGGAAATAAAGTCTTTGTAAATAGGGAAGGGTGGAGGGCGGAAAAAAAAAAGAAAACAAAGTTCACATGGATTGTTATCTATTTCTTTCATCTTACAAAAACCATTAGAAAGGGCTGGGGATTTAGCTCAGTGGTTCTGCCACCTGCCTCACAAGTGCAAGGACCTGAGTTCAATCCCCGGTACTAAAAAAAACCATTAGAAAGACTAACACATTGTTAACATTTAATATTGTTAAATACATGCAAAAACTAATGAAGGATATTTATTGTGGTATGAGAATATTCTCAGAAATTATTCCTTTTCAAAGATTGTCATTCTCATGTATCCATTAATATATATATTTTGTATTTATGAAGGCATTATTTTAAGCCTACAAAATACTACTTGATGTTATTTCAGCATTTAAAATTAATAATAATTTTATTAAAGTTACAAATTTAAAAATGAGGCTATTCAGGTTAATTTGTAAATCTTACTGTTTTATTTCAAAACCTGATGAATTTAACATCTACTTTTAAGGTAATCTTTTATTAATATTTATACCATTTTAAAACTCAGTTAAGATTTACTCAAATATTTAAAATCTAATATATTTATTTTATGCAATGCTGCTAACTAGCAGAACTTAGCCAAATATTTAGAATATGACTCTTAAAAAATCATAAGTTCTATAAATGTTAATTTTTTTTAAACATTTCAATACTTTTTATAAACATTGTAAACTTAATCTTTTCAAATTTATTTTACCTCTAAAATTAACTTAATGACACATTTTTAATTGGAATCATGAACTAATAAGAGATTCTCTAGTAAAGCAAATTCTTAGTTATCCCAAATATTTAAAATGTGAAACATATATAAACCACTCCTAAAGTTAACATAAAACAACTAATCTTATTGTTTTCAGTTCATTATTTCTATCTATAAGGATCAAATGAGAGAGTTTTATCAACCAAGCAAATTTGGGCTATTACCCCAAGCATGTTGACCTAATTAACCCCATATGTACCACAGGGCTATCTGTTCAGTCACTGATATTGAACCAGAAACTTGTGACCAAGGCACCTCTGAAGTAGCCAACATTTAAGGCAACTTTTCTTGTAACACTGAAGCAACCTGAGCTCTATTTGATGACTACTTTGCAGTTAGAGACTAATCCATTCCTCTCCAAATGAGGCTGTTTAACAGACCCCATTCCCCGTATTCAATTATGTATTATCTCATATTCAAGGTTGGAATCAATTTATTTATAGTTTGATACTACCTTACTTTTATATTTTCCACTTGTTTAGGACACAACTCTAACAGGTATTTTAATGATATCCAATTAGGTTTTGTCTGTGTCATGCTAATGACAGCAGTCTTACCTTCATTGCATGTATCCTTCAGGTTACTATACGATAAGAATGGTCTGGGTAAGAGACACATTTAACAGGTTTCTGGACCATGCTTTTTAATGTTTCCCTGCCCTCTTGCTCCTTGTTCTTTGACGGGATGCCTTAGCCTGTGAAGGACTGTCCTGGGATGACTTCGGTCTGGGATGAGAAGGCTTAGATTGGGAGGGCTGGGGCTGAGTGGATTTGGATGGAGAGGGGTTAGACTGAGAAGTCTGGGGGTGAGGATTAGTTTTCTGAGGTGGCTTAGATTGAGAAGGTACAGGTTGGTAGGATCTGGGCTGGAAGTGCTTGACTTGGGATGGCTTGGGCTGATGGGATCTGGAGCTGGAAAAGGATCCTGTTTGGAAAGCTGGATTTGAAGATCTACCCTGTGTCATCAGTTGGGTTCCTTGCTGTGAAGCAGGTCTTACTAGTGTTTGCATATCTCCTGCGGACTGAAAGGATTGAGGGTTAAGATTTGTAATGCAGGATGTTGGTCTCATAAATTTTCCAGTTGCTGTAGCTAGCTATGTTCCCCAGGCACAGGTTTGCCCAGGCTGTGGCTTCCCTACTGCTTCTGCCAGCTGTGAACTCAAGAGAATGGGAGTGGCCTACTAGGGAGACCATAGGCCCAGACATTTTGAGAGTGCCTATTGTTTGCCATCTCTCCAGACAAGCCCATCCATGGTGAAAAATAGGTCTTAGTATTCTCCCAAATGTTCCATTCAAATGATTTCCCCAAGACATTCTTGAAAATTCCATGAATCTTTTATCGGAATAAAATCTCTGGGGTCGAAAGTATTGAATACCAAATTGTTTACCTCTGCTATGATCCCTTATATTCTGAAATGGAGAACAGAACCACATGGACCTCTGTTCTGACCCAAAGTGGGAGCCCATAACCCAAGGGGCTTTCAAAAAAGAACGACTAAAGTTACCTACAATTGGTAAGAGGCAGGATTTTTGTAGATGAGGCATTAATGCTGGAGGGTGGTGAAAATTCTGAAAATTCTGGCTGACCTCACATCTATCCCTGGACTCTCTTGTAGACATCTGAGCTTGGCTTTCAGATGAGCTTTTTGGCTGACTATGCCTTTGTTGTCCATCACCTTTAGGTGTTCCAGCTATGTTTTCACTAGAGGAAACTTGCATTCCTTGAGCATTCTCAAAGTCTTGATCCACTTGAATCCCCAATTCCCTGGCCATGGAGGCCATGTCCTCCACAGACAAATTTGAGTGAAGAAGACATCACTTCCTGGAGGGCAGCTTGAAAGTCCTCCATGTTCTTTCTTCTATCTCCAGGTTCTTCCACCTCCCAGAATAGTAGCTGTGATGGCTTCAATTTCAGAATCCTCTGGAAAATTTGAGCCTCTTCACTCTTCCTGGCTTGGGGACTGAGCACCAAGTAGGATCTTTCAATGGCAGCTTCTCCTAGAAACATTAGCAAGTTCCATTCCTTCTCACCTAAGTAAAGTAGTCAGTAAAAAAGAACACAGCTGAGGAAACTTCCATCAAAAAACTAAACTGTGTCCATAAGTTTTCTAGATCTCCATGAAGGTTGGCCACAGCCACAGGCTTTTAGAAAAAATTAGGGCTTTTGTTTAGATCATCAGGGAAACACCATGTTATCTCAACCAGGCCATCAGAGATTTACTGAGGAAGCACTAGACCAGAAAAATCCTGATGGAGAAAGATTTTGTGTGATTTCACTTGGGCATGGCTAAGCAGTATGTTGAGGATTCTGGACTTTGAGAAGCTAACCCAAGATGCACAAAAGAGATGACAGGCATCTTCATGAGACTCAGAAACTTTTTTGCATCCCCTGTGGGCCTTCTTGAGAACTGTGTTGACTTCTCTTTCACAATGTTCTTCATGGCCCCTAGCATTAAGATGCTTTTGTTATTTTCAGCATCTAGCAGCAGCAAAGGAAGAGCAAATTGACACTGATACATATTTGACATGAATTCATATTGCAAAGAACTATCTGAACACAGCATGCAAGCACAAAGGACATCAAGGGGGTTAATGGTTTGTATGTCTCAAATTTCCAAGTTTTCGATTCCAATCAGCAATTCTTCTTTGCTGTTTTCATCCAGAACCTGGTGCCTAAGGATCAAATCTCTGGCTGTCACATCCAGTGCTTGAATTTTCATTAGGAAATTCCAGGCCAAGTCTCCTGGACTCTCAGGTGTCCACTCATATTGTTGGTCTAAGGCGAACTGTTTAACAAAATCTGGCAGAAGCTTTCTGCTTCTATCCATGTTCAAACAGGACAAGACATCTTTAAATACTTTTTTCTTTCTATAAAGGAAAAGTGAATGTCACGTTCAGAGTCTAAGTGTTTTTCACTTTTAAAATTAACTGACAAACAGTACTGCAAAAAAAAAGTCTCATTTCTCAATCCTTCCTGTTCCATCTCCCTTCTCAAACATGTCAGTACAGTAAGCATGTTTCCTTCCCATCCTTTTTCTATGCAAGTGCATAAGTATGCATGTATATGTTAAAATAATACAGTTTAACTTAAGTGATATTATTTTATTTTTACAAAAATTATAGCATACTAAACAAATGGTTCAACTTCTCACTTAATACTATTTCTTGCAAATTTTTCAAAATCAGCATAAATAGAGATATACCTAATTCATTTTAGCCATTTCATGATACTCCATGGCTTGGATAGACCACCATGGATAATCATTTAGGTTTTCCAATTTTTTAATAATATTTGTATGGTGAAGTGAAAAATCTTATTAATTCTTCATTATGTATATGTCTAAGGAACTCTCTAGATTGATCCTATTTCATTCTTAAATTTATCTCTTGCTAAGTATTAGAGAAGCTGAATATATTATTTCCATTAAAGTTTTCTCAGAATTTACATGCTGTCCCTAATATCTCCTCATTTCCCATTTTAAAAAATATTTTCTAGATACTTCGTGGGAATGGAGGTGGTGCTTAGTATAAAAAGATCAGAGTGAATTCTACTCCTGGCAGATGGCAAGCTACCATAACATTGTTAAATTTCCTTTAATAAGAACTTAGAAGAACAAAAGAAGTGAAAGAAAAGCATGGATTTTATGAATGAACAAAAGTAGCTATAAGATACCCTTGGGCAGTCTTAAAGTTGTTTCAAATGGTATATTTGTTGAGGTAAGAAAGTGAGGGAGAAATTGATGATAGAAGGAACAGTTCCCATAGCAGGCAGTGAGAAGATACTGTAATCTGCAGGAAAGCTTTTTAAACTCTGCTCTTGCCTATCTCATACTTTTCTTTAGGAAAATCCTCCACCTTTTTAGAACACAAATTGGCTCTCACATAACCCAAGCCATATATCTAATGTTGAGAAGTTATAATAGTGGTAAATGGAACAAGTAGAAGAAAAGGAGTATATATACATACAGAAGCAAGCATATATCTAATTAAGTACAGAGCTAAGTGAAAGTAGTAAGCAATACCATGTAGAATTTAATACTATTTTTGTAAATTAAAAAATTCATAAAAATATCTCAGCTAAGCTAAAAAGAAATGACCAGAGATTTCAGCTGCCACTCATTAAAAGGGAGAATGAATTTTGAATTTGAGTCTAACTGAATTAGGAACTAAAACAGACCAAAAAATAAAATACAAATAAAAATCCAAACTTCTGGGAGAAATATAACAACCCAGAAATATAACAACCCTATCTAACTTACAGATAGGACACAATCCAAAGTTAATAGATGTAGGATAAAACAGGAAATGTAACCCATACTCAGTCAATGGAAATTGATCTCAAGATGATCCAGATGTTGGATTTAGCATGTAAGAATTTTAAGGCAGCTATCTTAACATTCCTCAAGTATGAAGGAGACCAAGAAATGGAGAAACGGGGTAGGGAGGACATAGTAAAGAGACATAAGAAGAATTAAGATGTGTTATATACACATGTACCAACTCCCCAGAAAGAATGTAATCATTATGTACTACAAACATGTACTAATAAAAATAAATTTTAAAAACCATCCTAAAGAAGCTTGGCATGATATTGGATGCCCATAATCCCAGAACTCAGGATGCTGAGGCAGGAGCACTGCCACAAGTTCGAGGCCAGCCTAGGATATATAGTGAGTTCAAGGCCAGTCTGAACTACGTAGTGAGACTCTGTCTCAAAAAAGCATGACCCCCAAAAGAAAAACTTATCCTAAAGTATATAAAATAAGCCCATAATGATTGATTAAACAGAGATTCTCAGAAAAAATATAATGTATTAAAAGAAGGAAATTCTAGAATTAAAATTATAATTATTTGAATTTGTTTAAAATCACTAGGTGGATTAACAGCAGATGAGAGATGATAAAATAAAATCACTAGGTGGATTAACAGCAGATGAGAGATGATAAAATAAAGAGTATCCGATCTGAAAAATAGAAAAAAGTATTGAAGAAAAAATGAACTGAGTCTTAAGAACCTGTAGAAATAAATATATATATATCTTTTAACATGCTTGCATTTGAGGCCTCAGAAAGGAAAGACAAAGTGGAAAGGAAAAAATGTTTGGATATATAATGAGTGAAAATTTTCTGAATTTAATTTAAAAAATTGTTTTGCAAATTCAAGAAACTGTGTAAACCTTAAGGAGATAAAAAAAATAATACCTAGACATATCAGAGCCAACTACTAAACAAAAATTTAAGAAAAACTCTTGAAAGCCAGAAAAGAAAGACACAACATTTGCAGGAGACCAATGATAAAATCACTGACAATAACATCAAAGATAATAGAAGCTAAAAGAGAAATGACATCCATAAAGTGTTGAAGGCAAAAAACTGCCAATATAGAATTCTATACCCAGCAAAATAGCCTTCTGAAATGAAATCAAAACCAATATTTTCCAGTAATCAAAAACTAAGATAATTTACCAATAGCAGAATTATATTAAAAATTGTAATAAAATTTTTAAGCTAATATTAAATGAAAACCTGAAGCTTTAGAGGAAAAGGAAGGGCTGGGGGAATGGTTAATATATGGGTACCTTTCAATAGTTGGCTCTGACTACAAGCTGCAACAGAAGAAAGGTGACTGATACAATCTATATAAATCGACTTTCTACAATACATAGCACATAATGCAGCATTTTATGCCTTCCAGAGACTGATCTGACATTGTAATTTGGGGAAGGTCACAGGTTGAAATTGAACATGACAGAAAGCTTGAAGACCATTCTTTGAGTCAAAGATGTTCAGATTTTTTCTAGCTTCTCGATGAACAGATAAATAATACTGAGGAAGGAGGCAAAGTATAGCCACATGTCTCCTTTCAGAGTAGATAGACATTAGAATTACACTGCAGTCACTATCGTTATCACTAAGACTTTTCTTGACATATTTGGCTAGGTGTTCAAGTGATTGCAATAACCATAGTGAATGGTTTTTTGGTACCCACATCCTTTGCAATCTTACTTTCCAAGAGGTGAAATTTGTTTTGGGGATTTGTTTTGTTTTGTCAGTACTGGGGATTGAACCCAGAAATACTCTACCACTGAGTTATATTCCCAGCACCACCACCCTTTTACATTTTTTTATTTTGATAGAGTCTCAATAAATTGCCCAGGCTTGCTTTGTATTTACAGAACTCCTGCTTCAGCCTCCTGAGTAGATAAGATAATGGCCATAAACACCATGTCTAACTTAAAACCTGTTTTTCCTCAGCCCAGGTTTCTGTACTGGCTACGTGGCTTGCTTTGGCCAACAAAATGTGATAGGAGAGATGGTGTTATGTAAATTGTAGCTCACAGAAAAATGTATGTGAAAGATACAATGAAGACAAAGGAGTAATGCTTCCACAAGCCCAGAAAATGCCAAAGATTTCTAGAACCTAGGAACGAATTCTTCTTCATAACTTTCAAAAAGAAATAATCCTGCCAGCATCTTATCTTGGCCTTCCACCTCCCAAAACAATGAGAAAATATTTTTTTTTGTTTGTTATTGAAGCCACTCATTTTATGACACCTTGTTATAGTATTTGTAGCATATTAATATAAGGAATAATAAGGAAGAAGTTAGTCTTCATATCCAGAAGTAGACCATGAATCCTCACAATTTGGGATGAATGTGAGATGGCAGTTACCTTTCCATTCTCTACTCAGAATTCAGTGGTGTTTATTTCCCAGACAATATGAATGAAAAATTTCTTATTTTTTGTATTTTCATTAAGAAATATTCAGTTACAAGATACTGTGCTAATATAAATGTTTTCATCAAGATGGTAATATGAAACCAGGCATGGTGGTATCCCAGTATTCCCAGCACCTGGGTGGCTGAGGCAGGAATTGCAAGTTTGAGGTCAGCCTGGACTATATAGTGAGACCATGCCTTAAAAACAAACAATGAATAGAACAGATTGAGACCTAGTAATATTTTGGGGGTCTTAGTTATTCACTATATGCTTCTCTACTAGCTGTTTCCACTTCAGTGGTTAGAACTATAATTGGAATGTTTTCTGGCCATAAAAGCACTAAGATGACTAAAGTGGTTTGATATGAGGAATAGATGCTAACTCCTAAAACTAATGGTTTGAAACTCTTTATATGAATGATGGAAGGTGACTGCAAATTTATCAACTGACAATCACTGTTTTTGCTTTTTTAGTAGCTCCTCTGTATCCAAAGAGATCAATCCACATCTGCAGATTCAGCCAACTGCAGATCAAAAATATTTGGAAAAAAATTGTGTCTGTACTTAACATGTATATTTGTCATTATTCCCCAAGGAATACAATATAACAACTATTTACATAACATTTACATTGTTTTGGGTATTATAAGAAATCTAGAGATGATTTAAAGTATACGGGTGCATGGGGGAGGAAAAGACGGAGAGAGGAGTTTGATGTTCCCAACACAAAGAAAAGACATGTCTGAGACATTAGATATGCCAGTCACCCTGATGAGCACATCCATTATACATGTATCAAAATGTCATTCTCAACTCCATAAATATGTAGACTTGTTAGTTAATTACAAATAAAAAATGTTTAAAATAGTAATACTAAAACATACAGGAAGAAGTGCACAGGTTATATGCAGATACCATAGCTACACAAGGGACTTGAAAATTCACAGACTTTGGAATCCAAGGGGAGTCCTGGATCCATTCCCCTTGGATATAGGACACACATGGTCCACCATTTCCAAGGTCCTGGGTGTTCCTTTAGGTCAACACCCATCTCCGAAGACATTCCAAGCTAAGAGATATTAAAAGGATTTCTGATTCATTGATTTTCTGCTGATATCTGTGCCTTGTCATCCCCTTCCCCATTAGATCATGGCAAGCTTATTATTTTTTCAAGCTTATTAATTTTTGATGTTATTGCCTAACAGTACACACATTGTATACATACCTTCTATACATTTCTCTTCCTCCTCCAGTAAAATGTTGATTTCTAAATCCTTATAACTGTGTTCTTCATCAGAGAAGCCTGTGGTTTTTGAATACTTAAACAGTGCTCTTCACCACTATATACGATGTAAGCTGAGTCATCATAATCTTCCTCTTTTACAGTGGTTTCTGCATCTTCAAAGCATCCAACAGATTCTTGATATTCCCCTTCACTTAAGCATAAAGAATCATCTGGCTTCTCATATCTTTGTCCATCCCTTAAATATGTAATAGTCACTGGAATTTCACATTCACCTTTCTCAACTGAATATAGTAATGTGATTTTTGGTGTGTCATATGCTTTCTCATTGTCCCTGGAGAACAAAACAGTTTCCCTATGCCTAGTTTTCTTGTCCCTGGAAAGCTCAAAGCTTTTCAAATCTAAGTGTTCTTTCTCTGTGGAAGACAGAGTGATCTCAAGATTCTCAGGTTTTTTCTTTCCAGGGGAAGAAGTATCTTCTGAATTCTTGCTTAGTCCCTTATATTGAAAAGATTCTATACTCTCATGTTTTAAAACTTCTGAAAAGAACAAGAGTTGTTTATTTGTTTTCCCAGAAGTAATAAAAAGAAATTGTAAGTTAACTTGAGTGTTAAGTCCTCAAAAATATCACCTCTGCTTTTTGTTTTTTGAGACAGGATCTCACTATGTTGCTTCTAATTTCCAGCCTTAAGTGATCCATCCTTCTAACTCAACGTTCCAAGAAGTTCAAGCTATAGGCCTTCAATCCCTCTTCTTTATTTCATTGGAAGATAAGAATCCCCATTGCCTCCTACCTAATTTGTATGGCAATAAGTCAACTAGCAGCAGTATTTCCCACAGAAAAAAAAATCAGATGGTAAAACTGCCTTGCTCAAAAGTTTGTCTCTCATGGAAACTTTACAGGATCAATGAATGAAAGAAAAATTTTGAATCTTACAAAGTGTTTACTTGTGAACTTACCATGACCCTCAAGTCAGATTTCCTGGGATCATTGTTAATGAAATCTGATCTGAGTAGTTCCTAATTCATAAACAAAGAGCTTTAATTTAGAAGAGTACAACCGAGAAATAATAAAGCCTATTTTTACTAAGCATAATATCTTGTCCAACACTAGGGATCATTAAGATTCACTTTTTAATCAGAACACCTACCCCTTTAATCCCCCTTAAAAAATTCTGAGTATCTTTTAAATTCCTTTTTTTAAAAAGAGCTACCACTGCCTCCAGTAGTAATTTCCACAATTCTAAGCAATACGTTCTGAAATAACCACTCCCTCTTCTGCTTCTAGTTATTTTTGAACCATTAAGAGTTAGCATTTGTATGGATATCAAAATAGCAAGCATAGAAGATTTTGAAATGAAAAGTGTTTAACATAATATGCCAATATCATTGCTCTGATCTTTATACATTGTATACACATTGAAATATCACACAACCCATAAATATGTATAATTATTATAATCAATTAAAGTATGATGCTAGGTAAATATTTTTAAAAAGAATTAGTGTTCGAATTTCTCCTGAAAACTGGAATTCTGTTGATATTCTTTTTAGAGAGAAAAATGAAATTACTAATTAGCCATCTAGGTATGCTAAAAATTATTTTTCCTATATTTTCAGACTGGCTATCTCAATGAAAGATGCTGGCTCAGGTTTTACAATTGTTAACATCTGTGAATTTACTTACCTGAAAAAAGAAACTCAATTGTGCCATTATTAACAGTATTCTGTTTCCTACTGCAAAAGTTCAGGCTGTCATGACCAGAACAATGAGCACTTTATTGTAGCACTAAAACAACTGAAAATGTTGGTACAGTGTGAACAACAAATTATCAACCCCCTATTGTTCCCTGTTTTGTAAATGCTGCACACCTTCCCCTATCTGATATTTCTGTGAAAATTACCACTGGGAAAAAGACAGAAAATCTACTTCCTCCTTCATAACCCCCAAAACATAAATATTCAACTTACCATGACTTAAGCCCCAAGTGGTAGCAGACTCTGGAAAAGTACTCAATAAGCACTGGAGAAAATTGTGACAGCTCACCTCTCCCTTTTTCTGTACTAAAATTAACAGCCTCTGATTTTTCTTCAGGGGATCCACAACTTTGTCTAGTGTCTCATATTCATCCTCAGAAATCAGCCTTTGAGAGATTAACTTGTCAATAATAGAATCAGGAACATGTTGGAGGATTTTAAGCAACTTTTTTCATCACTTTTCTAGGATCTCTGAGGGAGCACTCCCCATGGCCATTGTTTCTGTTTACTCAAGACCAGGAAATGAAGTCATCCTGATAGATGGACAAATAAGAGAGGAAAAAAAAAAAAAAGACATGAAACCAAGAAACTGAAATGGAGCTTTAAAAATCAGGAAGCTAGAGCATGCGTTTAATTCTAGCACTCTAGGGGGCTGAGACAGGAGGAAGATGACGATAATTTAGCAATAAATAGAGGCCTCGTCTCAAGATTAAAAAAAAAAAAAAAAGGCTGTAGTTTAGTACAGGCCCTGGGTTCAATCCCTAGTATCACAAAACAAAACAAAAAAAAACAGGAAGTTCTTTCTCAGCTTCCTTGTGCTGAAGGAGAAACTTATACCCCAGCCCTGGAAGTTTCAACAGAATCAATCAGACTTTCAACATTTCTTGGGCCTGGTGGTGTGACAAAGCCTGGCTGAACCAACGTACACATATTGGCTTTTACACTACCCCTCTTATTAAAGTGCTTCTGTGCTTTGGGGAGGGGCCACAAAATAACTACCCTTACATTTTGGCCAAATTGTGAATTAATTTTTCTATTTTTAACAGTCTCTTGGTAGTGAGTTGGTGAAGGAAAATAGATTAGTGGGGCTCCAAATTCAGAGCATTGGCCAAGACACTAGTAACAGTATCAATGATATATAGTGTTGGAAGTGGTAGATGCCAATACAAACAGTATGGAAATCCATCCCTGAGCACTCTGTGCCCCTGGCTCCCTATGGATTATTTATCTGCGATTCCACCTCCTCCTCCGCCTCCTCCTTCCTTTTCTGTTCTACCCTTTCTACACTGATTTCATTTCTTCTAGCCTGTGTAGCAGACAGAAAGAATATAACTGTCTTAACCCCCACAATCTGTAAATATATTAGGTTATGTGGCAAATGACAATAAAGGTTGCAGATGGAATTCAGGGTGCTAATTAGCCGACTTTGAGATAAAGAAATTATGTACAAAAAAAGAGGATCAAGAGATAGATGGGAAAGGAAGGGAAAAGGGATAAAAAAATGAATTAACATGTATTATGTACATGGACCAATTCCTCAAAGGGAATGTAAATATTACACAGTACAAACATGTACTACTACAAAATAAACATTTACTAACCCCAGCCCCCAAGAAATTATCTGGGTAGGGCCAGTATGATCACAAGGGAATTTAAAAGTAGAAGAGGGAAAACTAGGCATGGTGGTGCACACCTGTAATCCCAGCACTTGGGAGGCTGCAGCAGGAGGATCATCCAGAGTTCGAGGGCAGCCTGAACCGCATAGCAAGACCCTACCTAAAAAATAAAAGTAGAAGAGTGAAGCAGAAGAGAGTTAAAGCAATGTGAGAGAGAGACTTTGAAGGTGGAAGTGAACAATAAACCAAAGAGTTTGAGCCTCCTTTATATTGTAAAAAAGGCAAGATAACAGGATCTCTCTCACAGCCTTCAAAAACGGAAGGCAGTCCTATTAACATTTTTTTTTTTTCTGTGCTAGTGAACCTAGAGCCTAATGCACTTGAAAACTTCAAAGTTAAGCAAGCACTTTACCACGGAACTTACATCCCCAGCCCTATATTTTAATTTTAGCACAGTGAGACCCTTCTTGTGCTTCTGACCTTTTTTCTTTTTCTGGTATTGGGGATCGAACTTGGGTCCTTGGGCTTGCGAGGCAAGCGGTGGAACCACTGAGCTAAATCCCCGTCCCCAGAACTTTTACAAATGTTTTTTGTGATGACCCTTTACCACGAGTTCCACTCTCTTAACAGATTTTGAAATGTGCAATACAGCATGTTAACAATAGGCATACTATACTTCAGATCTCTAGAATTCACTAATTTTCCATAATAAAAACTTTATACTTGTTTACTAAAGCTGTGTTGCTTTCAGCCACTAAATTTTTGGCAATTTGTTACCATAGCAACACAAAAAGTAATACAGTACCCAATCCAGAAAGTCCATCTTATCGCTCAAGCGTTTCTCTTCCTCTCCCACGCCCAATATACCATTATACCATTTGCACGAGGACAGCATTATGTCCTGTTACCGTTCCCTGCTCTTAGAAAAGCACCTCTTACTTATCACTAATCAATTGTTAAAGTGTCAAAATTGAACCTCTGATTCCTAGTGTTCATTTTGCTCTGCTGGCTATCAATTTGCTGCAACTTTCCGTGTGACAGCCAGGTATTCTCAAATTTGCTTTAGAAAGTAAGCAAATTATATATGTATTCTTGAATTGCTTTTGTAAGGGTTGGGGCTTTGCTGGATAAAGAGGTTACAAATCGAAGTGGTTTGGGCACTACCAATTTCAAAACTATCCACAGAGCGTTGTTTTTCATCTGTTAGCACAGACTTCAGGTCCTATCCTAACCTGATGTGTCAGATTTCCTGCCGGTAGGGTACTGGAAATTATATATAACAAATTCCATGTGTGACTCACCGGGACAACGAAATCTTAAGTCAAACAAGTGGCTTCTACACTCCCCCGGTATAAAAACTACTTTCTCTCTGTCTGGCAGTTAAGCTCTGTCCTAGAAGGCCAGCCCGGCGCTCTGCACTCCGAGGCTCTCTCTCTCAGGGACGAGTTAGCCCAGAGCCTCACGACACGCGCGCCTGAGCGCCGTGTCGGTGCAGGTGGCCCGGGGTGGGCTAGCCCCGCGCTCCAGATTCTGGAATCCACGTTGGAGCACCGGGTCCCGCCGACCGCTAACGTGGGAAACCTGCCAAAGGTAGCAGGAGCAGTGAGCAAAAAGCCTCACTACCGCCCACCAACTACTCAGACGTGAGGCTGGCAGTCCTCGCACCGCCCCTTCTGAAACTCGATCGGATCTGTCTGGTTCCGCAGTCTCCTCCTGACTCCACTCACATTGTCGCGACGGACGCTTGAGAAGGGAGCACGGTGCCCGCAGGAAGTAGTTCCCTGGGCGGAAGCTTCTAACCGTGATATAGCGGAAGTGCTTTCTCTTCCGGTCTCTTTGGTCTCGGCGGCACAAGCGAGATGGTGAGTTGCTTGAAAGGTCTCCGAATCGGTTTCCATCTACGTTCCTCGTGGTATGCCGCGTGTTATCCGTGAGGAACCGGCAAGGTTTCGAATAAGGGAAGCTGGCGGGCAAGAAAAAAGCATGCGATGTCCCACAAGTGCCAGAAGAATGACTCCTGGGTGGTGGGCCTAGCCGACAGTCATGGAGCTGGATCTTATTTAGGTTCTTCCGTTTTGTGGGGCCCACGCAGCTCTTCTTCGGATAGGAGACTTTGAGGGAAGAAGTCTGAGAGCATTTGGCTCTGTAACATCAAAGGAATTGATGGTGGTTCCTGGCAAGAGTCCCCGGGCTTTGGGGTAGGCACATTGTTTTGTCTCCAGTCTTACGCCTTTAAAATATATATACATAGTCGAGTTGGGGATGAAGGTTCGCCTGTAATCCCGGCAGAATACTGCAGCTCTTCTCAGACGAGGGCTTCAGCTAACGTGAATTACCAGTAGGGATCTCTAACTTGGCATGTACGAAGAATTAGAAACTTGACCAGTTTTGGCCCTTGTAATTGCCTTTAATTCTCATAAATAGATGGTTTCCCAGAAAAGGTCGCAATGCATAGAGAAATTTCTAGGTTTCCGAATTGTTTGTTTATCCTTTTACTTTGTAGACGAAGGGAACGTCATCTTTTGGAAAGCGTCGTAATAAGACGCACACGTTGTGCCGCCGCTGTGGCTCTAAGGCCTACCACCTTCAGAAGTCGACCTGTGGCAAATGTGGCTACCCTGCCAAGCGCAAGAGAAAGTGTAAGTGTTAATTGAAGCTAACTAAAGATTTGCATTGCACTTAAGTGGGTACAGGACGTAAAACTGTTACTCTATCCAAGTGAAGTGGCATAAAACAGGCATTGTTAAACAAATCGGCCAGTAAATGAGTAGGGAGAAAATTTTTATTTGGCATCTTGTGTTTTAGATAACTGGAGTGCAAAGGCTAAAAGGCGAAATACCACCGGAACTGGGAGAATGAGACACCTAAAAATTGTGTATCGCAGATTCAGGTACACTTTTTGTGTTTCGGCATAGTGGGAGTGGATCCTAAGGGCTTGGATAAGAATCTATATTTGTGTTAAATTCTACTCTGATGATGAGTGGGAATGAGGCATTGGAAGCTACTTAAAACTAGTAAGTAATGGTATGAGTTAAATATCAGAAGCAGTGTTTAGGCTATAGTTCTCAAAATGTTGATATTGCATCTCTGTAATTTGTACCCAAATTCGTTGAGACAGTATTGCAGAAATAAGGAAAGGAGTCAGGCTGACTTGATTGGACCTTTATTGGTGAGCTGTCATTTTGCTAATCGCCTTTGTAAGTAGATAACCTTAGAGTCTTATGCAAAGTTTGGGCCCTAGGGTTTCCTAAAAATACAGAGTACTGGTTCCACCCATAATGTAGTTGGATTTTTGTAGTGCTTTGTAGATTAACCTACCTCTATTCTCACTTGAGATTGAAAATGAAAACAGGCTTTACTTAAGGCAGTACTTCCATTACTGTGTTGTTTCAACAATTCTGAACTATTGATATCTGGGGCTGGAAAGTTCTTTGCTGTAGGCAGTTATCTGTAAAATATTTTAAAGAATTTAGTCTCTACCTAATTCTCAGCATGGAATTTTAAACAGTAACAAGACTTAACATGATCAAATGACATTTAATTTTTATCAGTCATTATGTGGGGTTGGTGTTGAATAGTTTGCTAGTGTAAAGAAAGCTGAGACTATGAGCTAAAAAGACAGATCTTAGGCTTGCTTAACCTTTCTGTTTCTCAATTCATTGATGCTCAAAAGGGTGAACATATGTTCTAATATTAAAGTACAGTGCTCTTATTTAAGCAGTTAAAATGCTGTTATGTCTGTTGATTTTCCTTTGCTAAGGGAAAATTGCTAGGATCTGTCTATCCCTTATAAGGAACCATTTTTACAAATAATCACATTTCTCAGCCACCAGTAGGCAAATACTGACATAGTGACAAGTATAGCTGAGTAAGTTACTGA